ACTATTTAAATTATTACTCAAAAGTGCCCAACGAAGGGGTATATTATGGATGACTAATAGGTTGCCAATTTATGTAGGTTTTAAAAACAAATACCGGAGTTTTCAGTGCAACGTTAGAGATTAAATAGAGAAATAAAGTTACGTGACGTGCTAATAAAATAAATAAATAAATAAATCATAATGCACTCGGAATTATTATTTTTTATTTCACGATGTTGGAAGTACAATAGCTTCATCCCATTGGTCGGAAGTAGCCCACTACAAGCAATGAAACTACTATAGTCGCTACTTTTTTTTCGTACTTTGTAGTGTAGTGTGAACCTTTTTTTTTTTAAAAAAAAAAGGAGTGTAAGGAGTAGTATTGCAATACGAAAAAAAGCAATAGTTTGTAGCAGGGCTCGAAAAACAGCCCGTCCGCCTGTCCTCGGCGGTTAAAAATTCCCCGCGGACAACAAATTTCTCGAATCCAGCGTTCGCGCGGACGGCTATTTTCCCGTTAATGTTCGTGATACATTTTCAATTTTTGCTATCTTACAAGAGTCTAGCGCCTCACTTCTGAAATGATCCTCTAATCTCGAAATACAGCAACATACTGCGCATGGTGGAATTTATGTTTTCTCTGTCTGGGAATACTGCAGCGGTTGAAAGGGGCTTTTCAGCTATGAACTTATAAAAAAACACATTGCTTACTGGTCTTAGGCAAGAAGCGTTAAACGCATTTATGAACATATACCTAAATGGAAAACCTCTTTCAGATTTCTGTGCAGAAACCTCTGTAAATCATTGGCTTGATTGTGGAACTGGCAAACGCCATATTTGATTCATTTAAAAAACGCAGTACCATCGGATAAATTGACATGATAATTGACAGATAACTTAACCTTTGTTATTTAAATTATTTCATCAAAGAAATAAATTATTTCATAATAGAAATACTAGGTTTTACTATTAGTAACCTAGTATTTCTTTTATTACTGTATAATGTAATCCTAGTATTTGTAATCCTAGTAACTACTAATTCATTGTGCAATTTATATAAATGTTTGTAATAAATAAGAGAAAATTATATTTTTATTTATTTAGAAGCGACGGGTTAGTTCCAAAGGAGGACGGGTACATTGTTGGACAAGCAGTCCTCGGGGACGGGTAAAATTTCTGAGTTTTTTCGAGCCCTGGTTTGTAGCTATTCCTGGAAACTACTATTAAGATTGGTTTAAAAATGAAGCACGGTTCTGACGCAACTAATTTTTCAAATTTGGTGGCGCTTCGCGGTGGTCATCAATCAATGAATATGACACGGTGGCTGCAGCTGAGCGCTAATAGAAATTACGTATTTGAAATCACGTAAAACTAATATTTAAACTAGCCATTACTAAAAATAGATAATTAATCATTTTGGTCACACATTCACATGCGAGTGCACACTCGGAAAACATTGATGTTATTTCAAAGGTAGGGAACGTATTTTCGATGTACTTAATTTCTTAGAGGAAATAAAAGAGCTTTAATTAACTAAATTGCAAGTGTTTGATGATTTTGAAAATCTCATATTAAATATTCGCTGAAAGGCATGAAAAGTTGAAGGTTAACTGAACAAATTCTGAGGAAAAAAAATGTTTTTGAATAACAAACTGGCTCCTGTAGACACGAATAAATATTTCTTAATTATTCCCTTATACTTAATATAAGCCAATTTCTTATTCAAAACCATTTTGAACATAGGTGTAAATTAAGTTTGCATCCTTGAAGTAGTGCTGAAGCAACTAAATCCAAAGTTGTTTCCAGTCACTACATTTTAACAAAAGTTGTAGTTAACTATATTTGCAACAAAGTAGTAGTAGTAAATTACAAAAATAATGTAGTTTTTTCGACCATTGTTTCCTCCTTATACTGAGCATTAATCCAAAATGGGAGCATTAATCACTCTTTGCTTTATTTTCCGCGATCAACAGATTGGCTGATATAAAGTGATCCATTTCTCTTAGCCAATTATCTTTTCGAAAGCAGTTTTAGACAGTTGGTACTCAGACGAAAACAAAAACATTTACAAATATTCAATAAATTTTACAACATTTCAAAGAAAATCATTCCCACACAGCCGTCGAATCAGTATTTATATTTATCTTCTTGAAAACAAAAAACAAAAAACAATCTTAGAAAGTAGTCGCATATATTTATACCATCTTCCCTCTTTTATCCACTGTGCCCGGGCATTAGACCTAAATGATTATTTATATGTTTACGTGTAAGAGTCCCGAATTTCTTATTCGTTTTTCATAAGAGACGTTATTGTTCCCAAAGGCAGTTTGTAAGACAGCGACCATTCCCAATCTTAAGGGCCCGGAATTGTTTTTCCAGCTTCTATCCCTTTTTTTAAGCGCTACACACAGTGAAATGAAAAAGAGAAGTTGAAACACTTGGGATTTAAAGAAATAATATTTTCTTCGCCAAATAGGACTGTCGTGAGGGTCTGTCTTAAAGAGAAAGAACTGTTATTGTATTCAGAAATGAATTCAATGTGGAAGAAACTACCATTATTACTTTAACCTGAGGAAAGGCCATATCACTTTTTTTTTTGAGACAGAGAAAATGGCCAACGAAGATAAAGTTTCGCGCCATGTGTTTGCATAAAGGATTTTAGTTTTATGGATACCAGATTTTTTTTTCTTAAGAATATTTTTTTTGTTTGAGTTTTACCATTCAACACAAGCTGCTGAGAGCTTTTAAATCAAAACAATGATGGCTTTCTTTTTGTTCTACCAACAACAGGGCGTGGAAATTGAAAACACTGATAATCTTTGAATTTTCTCATGCTATTTGGGAATGTTTGCCCATTTACTTAAAGAGCTTTAACAAATAAAACTTTTTCTAACATGAATCTAACATTTAAAAAAAAGTCTAGCTTCTTTTTTTAAGTTTCTATAAAACAATAGTTACAGAATTCTTAGAAATAATCATTTAGCTAAAATAATGGTTATACCTGTCGAAGATAATTTTATCAATAGTTAAAGGAATTATTAAGTTGAAAAAGTGGTTAAGTTGTGCAATTTTTCTAGTTCTTTTTTAATGTTTCTTTATAGGTTACCTTACGAATTTTCTAGATTTGTACGTGACGAAAGTTGCTAAAATCGTACAGTACTGTAAAAAATTACAGTATAAAGTACCGTGGCTTAAGGTGCTCATCCGAAATCCATTTAAAATATTATACCGTAATTTTTATAGTAATGTTTATTTTATTAGCGTGATTCACTGATTTTTCGGGTAGTGATTACTGTACAAATTATGGTACATCAGAGTTTTTAGTCCGGTAAAAATGGAGTTTACGGAGAAAAAACCTTTTTACCGAAATTTGATGCTGAATTTCTTATAGTGTACTCTTCATATTTAAATTTTTATCTGTCACAAATTACTGAAAATTATACTTGAAATATTTTAATAACAAAACACAATTATTCAGCTACTTGTGTTAATTTTCTGGTGATAATATTTGTGCAGAAAGAATTGAAAATTATTCGTTTTTGCAAAATCTGCAAGTGATACGGCTTAGAATACAGGATGCCTTATTCGTATCACCTTCTAAATCGTACCAACCTCAAAAATATTAGATATTTATTATTAAGTGAATAAGTAGACCCTCGTGTAACTTAAAACAATTGCTTAAAGATATAATAAGAAATATGATATCAAATTTTAAAACTGTTCCAGTGATAGTAACGGCATTATAAGCCAATATTGTTATTGGAACATTATTCACATTCCTGCGTGACTTTTAGGAGCCACGACCAACTTTTTAATTTTTGAAACTGAGGAAATTATTTCGGTTGAAGTTTTCAACATAGAAGGTACTAGGACAAATCGATCAATCGATCACACAGTACAATTACTAGATCATAACATGATTAACTGGAAGGCTCATCACTTTGAGATTTTCATCACATTTTCCTTGCTAGGAATAAGGAAAATACGTCTCATTATTAAGTATTAAATCTCATTTATTTATTTTATTTTATACTGGTCGTCGAACAGCCGACCCAATTTTGGGTTTACGACTACAAATCTTATCGTCCCAGTCTTGTAATGTTGAACGCAATCCAGAAGACAAGGAAACTCCTGTATCAAGTATTGGGAGAAATTTTGCTTTCTTGGAGGACTTTTTGAGGGAACTAATCCGCATTTGCGTTACATGGAGAGGAAAAGTACGAAAACCTCCCATGGTTAACCTGACGGCAAGTGGACTCTAACCCATGATCCGTCTACCACTGAGAATATTTTACGTCAGCACAGTGGTCTGTGTGAGCCGGATGCGGAATTTTTATTAGCCAGCCCTCGCTGGGATTTGAACCCGGGGTATCTCATTGAAAGGTGAAAGCTCTATCCCCTGAACCACCAGTTTATAGAAATTGTTTCGTTTTTTTTCTCGATTCCTTCACGAATTGTGATTGAGGTTATCTACGAAAATTAGTCCGAAAACTGAGCAATAATCTTAGCCACTTCTCGTCAGTTTGGCTGTAATACAGTTTAATTAGCTTGAAAACCGCCCTATTCAGTATTTGAAATTAACAAGTTGCTTCTAAATTGTACCAACTACATATGATGATGACATGATGCATTCAATAATTTGTACAGCAGGCCAAAAAAAAAAGACCACTCTGAATAGCTTTTAATCTAATAATCGTATCCTCGCGTTCTAGGACTCAACCTTAATGGTTTGAGGGGGTGACCTCAAATATGCTAATTGAGAAGTTCCGTAACTGAAGCGTCCTCTGTAAAAAGTTCTTTAAAAATCATAGGTGCTTTGGGAGACTTAAGTTAAGGTACCCTTATTTTAGCAGAAACATGTCCTACCCGGAAAGTGAGACATTTCCCCCTAAAACGCTCTTAAATAACTTTCTTAAATTATTTGAAAATATTGCTCATCGTTATATGTTTCCAAGCTCAATTAAATTCTTCAAGTATTTGAGTTATTAAGGTAGCTCCACTGTGAAACATTGTACTATTACCTTTCTTGGATCTCCTCCAAAATTCCTGATGTTGTCTTTAATCCACTGGAGGGCACAAAGTTGATCCCATAGACCATAATTTCCTTTAGAATCAGTTAATATGTTGTCCGACAGTAGCTCCAGAGCCATGAATCCGAGGGTGTAGAGTCTGTAATTCATGGAAACAAACACCATGTTCATCTTTTTGGCAAGCTTTGCCGATGGACTTAATCCCGCTTGATTGCCGTTGCCGAACTGGAGAAACCCTCCGTGAATCCAAACCATCACATCTAATCCGCCTTTCTGCTGAAAAAAAATTAAACAAATATTTTATTTTTTATCCAGTTCTCTTTCGTCAAAGTAAAAAACGGGAAAACGATTATAATCACTGAGGAAAAAAGTATGGAAAAAATTATCGGAATATTGTAAAGTTTACCATGTTTCAGACTCTATAGAAACACCAAAAAGGGTCGTTTTTTTACTGAAGTGCTTGTGCATTGATCTATGGTAAATGTGGTAAATTTTGGTAGTTTTATCATAATACTTTAGACCATAGCATAAAAATCATTTTTTCGATAAAATTTACTTTTCAGTTTTGTATTTTTTTAAATATGCGGTACAAAAAAACTCTAAGTTTAAAAGCCAGAATTTTTGGGAAACCGGTATTATATGAAAGGAAAAATTACTAAATGAATGGTTTAAAAATCGTATATTGCTTGTTTATTTTAACAGAAATGTTATTACCGTACAGTACATTAATGTACAGCAAAACATTTTTAGCTTAGTAAAAATATCACGGTCTGACTATCAAAATTCAGCAGTCGATCATGCATATATTTTGAATTGAAGAAAAGGTTAAAAAACTTTAAAATATAGTTTTGAATCTTGCGGTAATTTTAGAAAAACACAGCGGAAGCACGAGTACTAAAAATGTGAAATGCGTTAGGATTGCATCACTGCGTGCTTTTGGAAAGGCAATTGGGCACCACACTAAAGTACTAAATTAAGTACTAAGTACTAAATTAAGTCCTAAATTAGTTAGATTAAGTACTAAATTAGTTAGGTAAATACTGCGATAGTTAATCTCAAAAACTAGAATTCAAAGCTCTTTATAATTTTGGGTAAAAAACGGAATGCGAAATTCTAGACTAAGTCGAGTTAGGGACTGATTCCGAAGTCACGTGCTGGATATTCTCCAGCGCATTTGCAGTTTTTAGATCATAGCAACAAGCTAACGCAATGAATAACTTCAGAAATGAATTGCTTACTCAATGAATCACTTACAAGCATCGTGATTACTGAGTGATGCTTTGCGTTTTTCTGTGTCGTCCAGGGCCAAAAATTGGCAACAATTCAATTTTAAGCAAAATTCCCTTGTCTTTATAAACACCCTAATAGGATATTTGCAAGTGACGTAGTGTGGGTATCGCGACCATGATTGGCTGTTGAAACGTGGCATTTGTTTACGTTGGCAGCTGTTCTTTTCATTCTATTTCGAATAAGTCAAGTATCATCTTTTGCTTAAGTGACACGCTCTGTTTTCTTTCACAAGGATTTCAATTCTTTCACTATATATTTCTTACTTAACAAAAAGACAGGCACGAAGCTACATCGAACATAAAGAAACTAATTACTCATAGATCAGAAGTGAGTTCTTCTTCTTTTTGAAGTATAAATAGGCAATTGTCAGAATAAATAGATAAATTCAGTGAATTACATGAAATAATTTTGCTGTATTTTAGTGATATCATATGATTCACGCAATTATTTCTTAAACCTGTTATTAATTTATTGCGTGGGGGACTCGGAAAATTACGCAATGTCCCTCACGTAACAGTTCACAAGAAAAATATTTGAAAATTACTCTTAGCCTGTTGTAGACTTTCACTAGTTAAGAATTAAATTGGACTGCATCATGTCAACGACAAAATATGTTTTTATGGTAATTTATTTAACTAAGCCAGAAAAAAATTGTTCTATTATTTCTAAGTGAAATATGAAACGAAAAATATAAATAAATTTTCAATCAAAATATAACATGTTTTCTTCAAATTTGAATTTATGTGTGTATATTAATTAATATAAGTGCAGAAATTGCGTTATAATCTGCTGCGTGTTGTGTGTGGTGCACTCCTTAGAAATTTTTCTATTTACAAATTCTAAATCAACGATTTGATTAACTAAATTCCAGACTTCTAAATTCCAGAACTATGTTCGCTACGATCAGCATCTACGATTCGCTCTCAGTTATTAAAATACTGATATTAAAATCTTATTTTGTTACACAAAAATATTATTTATTTGCTTATTTGTTTTGGTTAATATTCTTTTAAGTAAGCATTTTTTTCTAAATTAAAAACCGATAATGAAAAAGAATTTACAAATTATTTTTGTTTAAAATTATTATTATTATTATTATTGATTTTCTTATCAAATTTAAAATTAATTTGACTTCATTTTGTACTTTCACTGTTCGTTTTTCTTGTTGTAGTTTGTTCGTTTTTGTTCATTCATACTTTCAAATCAATAGATCAAAATTTAATTCCACCTTTCTCTGTAGTATTTTGTCCAGTTTTGATTACTGTGTTTTGATCTCCAAATTTCATACAATTTTAACTTCATTTTTGTCAAAGATTCTAAAATACGTATATGTATTAACGTCGATAATTACGGAGTCTCCTACAGTAATTCTGCGAATTAAAATAAATTACTGTGATTTCAAATTCAAGTTTATCGTGTAATATCATTTTATTGTTAAGATTGTGCATTTCGTCACTGATTACTCGCCTTTATCTACCTTTAGTACAGTGAGCAACTTCTATCTTTATCTCAATAACTGTCAAATGACTATCATTTTAAAGTCCGGAAAGTAACTTTCTTCAGTTAATCTTAACAAAAGGGCCCGTGTCAGTAGGCAATCTCCATCAAATATACTTACAAAGAAGAGCACGATATTCATTCATTACATTTTCCTAAACTCTCCCCTACGTACGTGTGAAAAAAACGTAATAAGTGTAAGCATCAAGGGGAAAAAGGATGTGACATAAAAGATTTTTCCCTAGTAAGACGAATCTCGTTTCTTCTCCTGCATTCTCATTTTCCGACGAAAATGACTTTTTCATTTCATTTTTTTTCTTCAAAAAATTTCTTTTCCGCTGAATGATATTCTTACTTTAATTTTATACGCATTAAATTTTTCTTTCCGTTTTTCGCGTTTTCCTTTTCCGAATGCATATTAAGGTTGTTACTGTATATTTCAAACTGAGATGAAAATTTTTTCCAGTGAAATGGCTAGTTTCTTTCTTTTAAAAGTGACTCTTATTAACTCAGAACTGGAACGTACAGTTAGTTTTTTTAGTTTTTTTAATTAAAATCCTCGCGGTAATACAGGAGAGAGCAGATTGTTCAAAAAGAGCAAACATTAATCAGGAGGCGGTTTGCTGCTGGACGTCTTGAGTTATATCTACTTTTTAATCTCCTTTTGATGTTTACCTAGACGTAAGGTTATGTGAAGTTATAAGAAATTATGTAGGAGATAAAGAAAGGAAATGAAGAATATATTAATTAATAAATATTAATTTCATACTTATTATTTATAAACTTTAAAATTAAAGAATAAAATGCATACATTTTAATTTTATTAAAAACGTTAGTATTTTTTCAGAATGATAATTTTTAACAGTATTTAACAAATATGTATTGAATTACGTATTCATAACTTTTAAAACTACATACAAATAAACCTTATTAAGACGAACAGAAGGAATGCAAAAACCTTTTCGTGTTAACCGATAAAACGGAAAAAGGCATTTTGGATGATTTTCTAAAACAAAAAAAGCGAAGATATCAGAGAATGTAAATCACATTAGTAGAAAAAAGTAATAAATAAAAAATTGTAAATGACAAAATATATTTACATCTTTATGTTTTTCTCTCAAATACATATTTCATCGATATTAAAAGGAATTAAAAACAGTACAACAATATTCTAATAATAGATTTAAAATGCATTGAATATTAATGAAAATTAATATGCATCATGAAACAAAATTAATAAATAACTTAATTAAATAAATGTAAAAAAAAAACGCATGAACATGGAACAATAAATTGATAATCCAGTGTTTTTTCAATGATTACGTTTGCACGACTAGCTCTTCGTCTTATTTCCAGATAGGTACTTTACAAGTGCCCAGAATTTCCATTGGGTAGATAGAAACATCTAAATCCTTACATCGAAATCGGAGTGTGTTTATTTATTTGTATATTATCAGAACTGCTTTTATTAAGAATTTGTAAATGTGGTTATTGTCATTGTCTTTAAGTTTTTCATATTTTAAATTACACAGTTTTAAAAGGCAAGTAAATTAGTTGTCATGAGTAATATTTTTTTCTTTAAAATAAGACTATTATAATATTTCTCTTTAACCGTATGTTTAAATACTTTAAGATACCTTTCAATTAAACACAATCAAAATATCTAGTTAATATAGCGTGTGTAATATGGCTATAATTAGATACTTATAACTGAATTAGTTTGAATTAATTAAGTATTATGATTGAAACAGTAAAATTCTATAAAATTTCAATAAGTGGTGAAGTTCTATTGAATACACTATTAATAACTGAGTTATTTATATTGACTAAGATATTATAACATAATCAGTTTAATTTAATAAATATTTGATAACTAATTTAGTTGAACTGAAAAAAAGTAAACAAATAAAGAAATTTATGGTTATAATTAGATATCGTATATGGCTATAATTTGATACTTATAACTGAATTAGTTTGAATTAATTAAATATTATGACTAAAACAGTAAAATTCAATAAAATTTCAATAAGTGATGTAGTTCTCTTCAATACACTATCAATAACTGAGTTATTTATATTTATTAAAATATTGTAATCTAATCAGTTTAATTTAATAAAAATTTGATAACTGATTTAGTGGGACATGAAAAAAATAAATAAATAATTTACAGTTTCCGTTAAATTATAAATAACTCAACGGAATTAAATAAAATATTATTTATTGAACAAACTTTTTTATTTAAAATAAAAATAGAACTGACCGACGTGTCTAGAGAGGGCGTCCACACATTAAGAAAAAGACAGTCTTCGCTTCCTTCGAAATTTTTTGTGTAAGGATTTAGTTGGAAGCATTCCGTACCAAAATGGAACGCTTCTTGGGTGTTGTGCTCTTCACACCAGGTGCTGTCCACCCACAAAGGCACTGGTTTTCTCCACCTCAGGGGTCCTACGGGTGGTGAGGCGTATGCGATGCCCTAAAAATATAGAAAATCAATATAAATAATAGAATATTTTACCTGCAAAGTAAGAGTTGGGTATTGAAAGTTTCGATTAAGAGACATTTTTTCTCAGGTATAGGTGCATTGATACTTTACCTGTATTAAATTATTCAAACTGTGTAACCGGATTTCGCACAATACACTCTTAGAAACTCAGTTCGGCTTCGAATCATATTATTTGTTAAAACTATATTTCGAAGCTCTGTCATCAAGGAAAATAAGAAAAAACATAGTTTAAGAGCCTCACACTAGAAGCAATGAGATTATTTTAAACTATATTTATAATTTGACTTGAAGAATTAATTATCCGGGATTTAAAACAGACAAATAACTTAAATACTTAAAAAGGTATTAAATTTTTTTAAAAAAACGCCAATTTGGCGCCATTTTTCCATCTAGATGAAAATTATCAAAATCACTGCCGTATTCTCAGTTTTTGCTAAGTTTTATGAGTCCAGGTAATGCAACATTGGAGTAAGTTTTAAAATATTATACTCGTAAAAAATTAGACCACAAACGCTTTTCATTTTCACAAAACTGTGGCTTTTCTCCATATCGACGTTCTGCGCCATTTTCAAAATAAGCGTAGACAGCGCTGGCTTTGGATAGGCTTAACTTGACCTAACTGTGAAGAGCAACAGTTGCAAACTCACAGCAGTTATAAAAATAGCATATTCGCAAAACAGCATCATTTCATATTACGACGGAACCTACGAAAAACAGCCTTAAGTGATGAACGTAAGAGCATGGAAAGTTTTGACTAAAAAAACTATTTCTCCCTCAACTATAGATGTATTAGTGATATATGATGTATGTAATTATTGATGTATGATGACTTAACTTAGACAAATTACACATATTATACAAAAACCGGTTCAATGTATATTTTTGAACTTAAGGAAATTTTTGATCAAGTAATATCTTACCGCTTCAGTTTCTGGGAATTATTTATTCAAATACATATTTTTGAATTAACATAAGCATCCACACATATCTTACATTTTGAACTCAAGTGGAAATGTATTGCATTGTTTTTAACAGGTTTCAATTCTTAAGCAAGGATGTATCAACCAAGCTTCGTATTTATTCTTTTTCTTCTACAACTAGGAATTCCCATTTAAATTTATTTATTGTTATCTAACTAATAGTTATCTTCCTCAATTCGAATGGTAAAGCAAGTTTGTAAAAATCTACAACATCCTTCCTTCTAAACACGTGAACCATGCAATTTCTTCTTCAAAACTTCATGAATACTTTTTCTTCGAGTCAACAACACGGAAACTCGAACAAATTCAATGCAAAGTTTATGTATTTACTTATAAATAACAAACTATTACTCTTTATCATAAATATATAGTTTAAAAGTTTTGAAAAAGTTTTCTTAAAATTATATACAAGCATGCAACTGACGATGCTTTGACCGAAAACTCTCTTTTTAATGGTTCTCTTCTAACTATATTGCTTCAGAATAGATGTTGCCAAAAAATTGAAGCTTGCTTTGAATATTTTCATAATGTCCCATCATCGTGGTAAAGTATTCTAAAATAATTTCAGTTGGATAGATTCAAAATTTTAATATGTAAAGTAAAATTCCCATAGAATAAAGCGGTGATTTTTCTAATAATTCAAATATGTTTGCTAATTTATGACAACTTTTCAATTTTAGAATATTTATCTATGGTTTAATGATATGAGAAATGTTTCTTCCAATACATAAGAAAAGTATATACTTCTTAAGAAAGTTTGCACTGTTTACTTTTATAATTATGAAAAGAAAGAAAGAAATATTTATATATATATTTTTTCATAAGAGTGATTTATAAGTCTTAATGTCTTATCTATAATAAGAAAGTTGGTTGAAGTCATATTACTTTTATAAAAAAGATGCCATACTAGCTAGAATTAAATTTTGCTGAATGAACATAATTAGTAATGTAATGACGAAAAAGAAAATAATTATTTTTTTAAGAAACATGATGCTATTGCACTTAAGCGCAATTAGCAAAATAAAATTTTGAGTTGATTTTAAAATATATTTACGATGGTGTCTATATGTAGATAAATGGCTGCATATGTTAAATGTACAGGGTGTCTCAAATTCTCTACCCTATTTTTTCAAGTGCTCCAACAGCTACAATAAATTAGAAAAATAAGCTATGTCGCTTAACTTTTTATAAAACAAGTGATGCTTTCCAAACTAGCCAAGTATATTTCCCAATAAAACACATTCTTATATTTTCGTTCAATTTCTCCTTATTCATTTCTTTTTTCTTTTTCTTATATTTTCTTTCGTACTTTATTCATACTCCTTTTTTCTAAAAATAACATTCTGTTCACTAATTTTTTAGTGATTTTGGAACAAGAACCCCTAAAATCTAATAGCGTTTAGCGAAATATTTCAAAATATTCCTAAACTGTCACTGAAATTAATTGAAAGTGAATTTTATACACCTTTAGTATCTATTGATATACAATCACGGTTATTATTTTAAAAAATGCTGAAGAAACAATGTTGTATTTTTTGATGCAAAATCTGTTCTAAAATACAAAATACCTTATAATTGAAAAAGTTAAAATATTTTTAATAGTAAATATTAAAACTTCCAAATGTTTTCATATCGAAAAGTCAATATACTTTTTATGTTTTTAAAACATCCTGGATTAAAAATGTTTTTGAAAATTTTCTTTTCATTTTCATACGGTATTATTTGCATTTTTATTTTTTATTTATTTGTTATGGCTTCCATTCAAAAAACAAATAAAATTATGCGTATTTTTAAGTATCGAATTTAAAACAAATAGATAATTATTTTATTTCAGAAATCTTTTATTTAGCAAATCATTTTATTTTATTCATATTTTTTTCCCATTTTCTAATTCTGTTTCTTAAATCCATCTAAATTTAATAATATTTTTGTCAAGTCTCTTTCTCTCAAGAAGCTTGTCTCATAAAATAAATTATTTTAACATTATTATTTATTTNTTATTTTATTCATATTTTTTTCCCATTTTCTAATTCTGTTTCTTAAATCCATCTAAATTTAATAATATTTTTGTCAAGTCTCTTTCTCTCAAGAAGCTTGTCTCATAAAATAAGTTATTTTAACATTATTATTCATTTATTCAATATTTTTATTTATTTATTCAATATTTTTATTTCATTTGCTTGCTTTTCACTGTCAAAACATTACAAATAAATGGTTGTTATTATAATGCCAAGGTTTACCACATTTGTTGTTTTTCAAATCATTTAGCTAAATAGTGCTTTGAACAGAATTACTTTAAAAAATTGCATGACGAATATGGAAGGTAATGTATAGTATCGCATATCTTGCATTACATTAATATACGAACATTAATTTAACATTATGCATTACATTGTACATTATATTATTAACATTATACGTTTTACATTAATTTAACATTAATATGCGAAAAACGTCAAGTACTATTTGAGTAAATACCAATTCATTATTATTTTTTGTTCCTTAAACAAACAATTTCTGAAATATTTTGCACCTAATTTGTTAATAATTATATTGGAAACCTGCTAGAACCTAAATATATAGTGTTTCATTAATAGTAATGCATATTATGAATTAGGCAAGGCCTTCTTATATGATAGAAAATTCCAGAATTTTTTCTCTATTACTGAGACATTAGATTCCTTATATCTATAATATTATGACTTTTATGTCCATTCAACAATTTGTAAACCAATTAAAATATGCGTGTAATATTTCGATCAGAGTAATAATTTTAAATCCAAGCAAGAAAATAACTCTTCACGTTTATTGATTAATACTTATGATTTATTTTCCAAACACTAAATATTGTTACTTTATCCATTAAAAAAATAATAGGAGGTGTTTCATTTATCAAGTTTTCTTATTAATTGCTTTTTGATACTGTATTTTACGAAGTCCAAAGACATGACAGTATTTGTAATTTGTATTTGTGTTCTAAATAACAGTTTTCTTTATTCTAGAGGTACAAAAAAAATTATGTCATAAAATGCAGCTTCATTGAACAAAATACTTCATTATAATTAATAATTTGAATAGTTATTTTTTGTACAAATATAGCAGCTTTAGAAGAAGAGTTATGAACCTACACGTTGCTTTTATGGAGACAGCTGTTTCTCACTAAAATATCTTTTAAAAAAAAGCTGGGTTTGGGATAGAAATTTTAGAAAGTTTATTAATTAGTTGCGCAAGAGTTTTTGAAAGACCACGATCCAAGAAAATTTTCTGAATAACGTCATTTGTGTCGATGCAAAACTTGCAGAAACTAATTTATGTGGAAAAATTAAAGTAATAAAAAAAAGGTGGTCGACTTTTTAAATAATGCCTTTTTGAACTACAACTCATCATGCAAGTATTTATTCTTGAAAATTATCCCTTTTATTTTTGTTAGTAAGCTGCATCAGTTCATATTGCGTGCTTTTTACTTTCATAGATATGCATATTTGTTCAATAAATTAATTTTGCCATAAAGCATTTGAAAATTTTGATAAAAATGTAGTGAATTTTGCGATTATGCAAATAAATAAATAAATAAGTAATAAACAAATAAGAAAATTACAACATGCAGTTTTCTGAGAAGAAGCCATGGAGGTTTAATTAATATTTCTCAATATACAGCATCATTAGGTCTATATCAGAGGTGTCAAACTCAATTTTCCATAGGGCCATATATTAAATTTAGAATGTGTAGGCGGGCCAGGCTCAAATAAGAAAAATGTACTGAATTATTATAACATTTTATTTATTTAATTATGTAGTATATGATATACGGTTGTTAAAAATAATATTAAAGTTATAAAAGAGGGTAATTATTTTGAGCTCGAGGATCCAAATACCTGACTTCTCTTGTTTTTGACAAGCTCATTGATGTCCTGTTTCATATTTGTTGTAATTATTTTAAGAATTGATTGGAGATGTTCATTCGTAAGTCTTGTGCGATGTTTGTTCTTA